TTACTCATTTTGGAAGGAGTCTCTATTGAGAGATTTTATTCACTAGTTCCACTGATTTCATCTCTTGTCGAATGTCTTCGAGATCGTTTTTCAGATGATCGGCTACTATGTTGTGATATTTTGCCTCATCATTATCCGTTGTTTCTTTAGATTTCTTGAGATTATTATTCGTTTCTTTGTCTAAATTCTGTTCTTCGTGAAGCTGAGCAACCTGAAGGATTAAGTCATCTTATGAATATGGAATTTGAACCAAAATAAAAAAGAAACTAAATTAACGAGCTTTTATTTTGAGAGCAGAAAAAATGTCGTAAAATCATAATGTTAATTTCAGCATGACCTAATACAACTATCAAAATGATAGAATGACTTTTTTAAACTAGCGAACTAACATATTTTACTATATGATAATATCATTATTTGCTCGTTGTGCTACTTTCGAACTTTATCGATATGGGTGAAAAATAGCACAATGAGTACATAATGATATCATCGTATAGTAAAATATGTTAGTTCGCTAGTTTAAAACAGTCTATACGTATATATATATGAAGAATGAAAAAGCACCCAATGACTATGATAACTGTCACTATGAAATAGTACATAATGTAATTTCACAACGTCAGTATCTATTTAAAATATAATAAATTGTGTCATTTTGGTATTCTTATTACTTCAAGCAGAAATTAATATTGTGATTTTACAAAATTTTCACTGCTATTAAAATAAAAATTTTGTTACCTTTACAAGTAGCTTATAAACTTAATGAAAAACGAAACATACTTTCCTTTAAGGTAACCAGCTACATTGTGTATTGTGAGACATACTAATATTGACTTTCGACAAAAAACGAGTGTGAAATAGGCGGAACGAAGCAACTGATCATTTTATACTTTTTTGCATTGTTATTCGTTTACTAGAAAATAATAATTATCCACGTATCTCTTGTCTTCTTTTTCTATCAAGAAATGCAATGGATTTAATTTCACAAGAGCGTTTCTCGTTCGAATGCATCAAACAAAATATAAAATTCCGGCATATGCATGATAGTTGAATTACACTTATTCATAGAAACACACACATGGCATGTATCTCTTCATACACACTGGCACTTACACCGACATTCACATCCAGACACCCACAGCTCAAAACGTTCAACAGATCAATATTTTTAAGTATTTGTTTTGAAGTTCGAAAATTTGAATTTGAGCTTCAATTTAAACTTTTAGATTACAAAAACTTAAAAGCTCATAATTTAAATTACAAACAATTTCTTTAATAATACACGTAAGATACTATACTTCCTATATATTGTCTAAAATGTCTTGTTTCTTTGGAGAGAACTCCTTGAAAAAGAAACTCTAGTGGAGTTCAATACTAACACCGATCCAAGAGAAACAACTATCACTTAAATTCACTCTATCATTCTCATCTTTGCGTATACCTACATACTTCTACTTATAGATACTGTAGATCGTCACATACTGTACAAAGTACATCTTATTTGTTAGATTCCGTTTTTCAACTCAAAAACTAGAACGCCTTTTCTGTTAGTTTTGACTGAATTACAATGAATGCTTGCATGGCTTCTTGGATGCTTCGAGGGATATCTATGAGATTACAAAGCTGAGAATAAAAATTTAACAAAACATTGTTATACATGTATTATATACTATAAGTGATAGATCAATACCTATATACAAGCTTTTAGGTTCATACTAGTTAAAATAGAACATTAAAATGATAACAACTGGACAAGACTGTTTATAAAAAGGTGCTTGCAATAAGGAGAAGATACTTTTGCTTGCTTACATACAATTGTTACTTTTTGAAAAATGACAAACGCATAACATTAAACTATTCCAAGAAGTGTTTAAGTGTAGAGGTCATCATCCTCATTTGAATACGATATTAACTCCTCACTTTGCATTTCAGTTTGTTCATTTTGTCGTCGCAGCATAATCTGAGGCGCTGTACTACTAACATTGAACAGTCTATCATTTTTATCAGTCAAATATTGGACGTTCGATTTCAGTTTTTTGATAAACATCGGTATTTCATTTAACGGTAGTTCATTCAGTTGTATATTCTTGTTACGTAGTTGTTGCTTTTCCTGGTCTACCATTTGAGCTAATGATGCGAACGCTCGATCACGTTCAGCATCTGCTTTTTGCACAATCTTATCGTGTTCAGCTGCTATTTTTTGTCGAGTATTTGTAGCAATACGATCAAGAACATCGATTTTTTCGTTCAGTAAATGCAAAGCACCATCAGTTTCTCCTGCGACCAAGTTCACATGTTTTTGAGCACACTCCAGACAAATATGTTGTGAGCAATGAAGACACTGAACTTGTGGCGGTTTCTTCTTACATTCAATGCAGCTGCGATTCGAAAAATTTTGTTGTTTTTGATTTGGTCTACGGGCTGAAATCGTTCTTTGTGTCGATAACATTTCATTCGAGTAATAATTCGGCTAATTAACAAGCATATATCAGATTAAGATTCAGACTCAATGAATAATGCTTTAGTTTTTCTCTAGCCTTCCTTTTTCTTAAAACTTATGAATCAAGATATCTCAAACCACCACTTAGAGAACCTACATTCTTATAGATAGGTTTGCGTCAATATCATTTCATTATTCAAGTCAATGTTTTTGGTAATCAATTTCGTGGATTTCCCGTAGAAAACAGTAAGAATCTCAGAAACAGGAATACAGTGACCGTATTTGACGATTATCTCTCCTTGATGACAGTTACAACTGGAAAAATCTGGTCACACAATATGGATATTGTATTTTTGCCTCGAAGTTCTCATCAATTTTCAATTTTTCAACTAGAATCGACTGTTCATCATTCATCCTCATATGTGAATAATAATTGAGCTACTGGTATTTAGCTAATTAAAGGACAGGAAAGTATTTTTAAACATCGGCTATTTTACAAATCTACTTACTAGAAGAGACATTTAACTGTATGTTGTTATGAATATAAAACAGTAGTAGGAAGAAGTTTACTGTATGCGCAGCAGCGATATGTGTAGTTGTTGTTTTGCCTTTGTTTGCAAATAAAATTTGGACGTATTTCATCAGAATTAAACAAAATACCGTTGAATAAACTTTGAAAAAGAAAGGTAAAAAATTTCGTTGGTTTACACTTTCTATCCACCTGAAATATACTCATAAAGATGACGCTGTCTCAAAATATGAAAAAAATGAATATTAACAATAGCATCATATTCAGTATATTCGACTGTGTGTGTCTGGAATGTAGTAACTATTGGCTTATAGTCCGTTTGCTTCACACCAGAGGTGTCCATGGGGGCGCCACAATCGACGTGTGTTTTGCCCTGCAGGGCAAACTTGGCGTCGAATGTGGCGCCCCCATGGACACCTCTGCTTCACACTGCCTTTTGTAATATATTCGCGTTACTTCCATGTTCTTTCTTGAGCTTAACGATTCTGTCACAGCTGATGAAATTAGCAATTAACTTGACCACTGCTAGCGCGTTTCTCGGAAACAACAGGCATGATTCTATTCAATTTAGGTGTTGTTTTATAGGAAAAAAACGCAAAAAATAGTGTCTTAGTGCGTAAGCATGATCGCAGTAAACAGATATGTTGCGATGCTACATCGATGAAAAAACATTCTTTCTATATTCCGCACTTGAATTGATAGAAAATAAGATACTGTGGACGACTGTTTGTTTTGTTTTTCGAATTTTCTTTTGACTGTGTTCATTAAAAAACATTGAGATCACCTCCTATAAATTTCATGAATATGAAGACCATTAAAATTGATGGTACTATACGGTACCAATTGTTTTATAATCACGAAGAAAAAGAATTTCAATTAATCTTACTACCCCTAATGTATATCGGCTGCCGAAAAAGAAGCGTCAGGTTGACTTTATGTTTAATTGTAGTATTTCTTTTACATGTTTATCGAACTTATCGTTAATCCGATATATGTTGCCGTTATTATAAATATAGCATTGTTGCAACTTCCAAGACAATTGATTGTTGTCTTAGAATCTGCTGTATGCATGAGATGAACTTCAAAAAAATTGAATCCTACTTTTGTATAGATGTCTTATTATGTAAAATAATAAATGAAAGAAATGTTTTTATGATTTCAATTCGTACTTGTGAAACACTGTATCAAATAGATACACTTGAATTAAAAAAAAAACTCATTGACTTTGCTTCTACAACATACGCCATTATCGAATACTTACCGTAAGAAAGAACGTTTTGAATTTTTAATTAAAGTTATCATTTTTGTTTCCATTTTTGAAAAGAGTAATATACCGCACTGTATTTTCGAAGCATATAATCTCTTCTACAAGCTTATTGTTGGAATTGTAGAAATTTCGCATCATCGTTTCGATGAAAGTCCACAAACAGAAGAATTGATACTGTAACACAAAAGTGGAAACCAATAAAATAGATACGATCCAAAATGTTTGTATCACCATGATATGAAAATTGTATTCTGAGATATTTATTTGCGATGGTACATTTGACTACTCTTTATAGTTAATTCAGATCAAAGCTCGATGATGTATTGTATGCGAAGCTGAATGTAACGAGAGTTAAAATAACTAAGGATATCAATGATTGAGATGTATCTCTATCAAATATTTCATCTTTGCTCAAAATATAAAGTGTCAACGTTCTGGTTCTGCTTCTTTAAGAACAATAATATATTTATTTTATTGTCAATCAGTGATTTAAACAATCTCATTATTTCAACTGACGTCAATATATTAATCACACAAATAAGTTAAAGCCCATTTTTCAAATACAATCGTGGAAGAACATATGTCTTTCACACTATTGGCCAACAGTAAATCATTTGCATTATTCCATGTTAATAAATGCAAGTGAGATGCATGGAAAAAAGGTTCAAGGCATTAGTAATTTTAGTGTAACACTTATAAAATGAAAACAAAAGAATTGATATTTTATCGTTTGTAACATAAATATCGAAATAAATCAAATATTCCTATTTAGTTTTTTTGATTCTAATAAGTTGAATATAAGAGAAAATAAAAAATAACATAGCCATCAGTGTCAATGCAAGAAAATTCTTCCATAAATCCCACGCATTAGCATGAGCGAGTGCTCTCTTATCAAGTATCTCATCACCTGTCATTGGACAAAAATCAGTTTGATTTGGTAAACAGAAAGTTAAACCTTGAAATTCATTAATAGTAAGGACATTTGAAGCATATCGAAATGCACTAATCCATTGGATCCATGACAGCCAACTAAAAATACTTGACAAATCAACAAGAAATCCACTAAACATCATCATAATGACAAGAACGAGAATAACAACAATTAGAGCCACAGCTACAATGAACAAGTATATGAGAATATATGAAGAAAAATATGTATTTTGACAATAATTAAAGATAATTATTACTCAATACAAGCTAAGTTCTTCTTCAACAAATATATAATAGAATTCTGTACCATCTAGTCATTTGTTGATTAACCTGGTAAAGGCCCAAATCCTTTTACCTTTTTCTTTATTTTCTGAGAAAACAGATCTTATATGTTAAGTAATATATTATTTGCAACAAAGTCCACCATTTTACGATATATTTTTCTTTTCTCAAACTCGAAACCAAACCACGATTTATGATACTCTTAGTCTCTATTTAATCACATAAAACCTTATTATGTAATAATATCCGGAGCATGATTATGAAAAAAACCTGATCTTACCAAATATAGATATGGTAGCCGAAATGAAAAAGCACATAGCTGATCCAAATAGACTGGCCATAAAGATTGTTATAAGAAAAATAAAGAATTGTCCACCAGTTCGAGTTAAACCTGTCATAAAATAAGAGATAATGGAAAATAAGATAGCTGGTATTACACGCATAGGTATCAAGTCGCATATTAATTTGGCAATAAAAAACGTGAAGATTCTGTAATAACCACTTGAATGTTCCTGAAAGACATTAAATATAATTTTTTTTCATTTTAGTATATGAAAAGATTACGTGAATGAAAAGTACACGTTCTTTAATCAGTGGTTCAAGTGCTGTCAAGTTGCTAAAAATTTGACTGATGACAATAAAAAAAATTGCACCCAAACGATTTTGAACACCAGGTTCAGTTGTTTTCTTTAACTCATAGAACAATAATCCAGCTAACAAACCAATAATAATAGAAGCAAGAGTTTGTGACAATGCTAATGCTGGATTACGTACAGCATTACGTAATGTTCGCTGTGACAAATAAAAGATTTCTGCTCCAATTGAACGAGCTGCTTTCACCTTATATTTTCGTCGTTCATCTTCAATATATTCATTACTGGTTGAACTATATTGTCGATGAAAGAGTGTCAATGAATTTGGATGTGTAATATTATATATATTATTCAATCTTGTCAATGTTTCTGGCTTTCGACTAACATCTATTAAGACATCTAATGCATAATCAGCTGGATTTTCATATGGCTCGCATTGATATCCATGTTTTGCAAAGTATGGAACAACATCTTTAGCTGAGCCCTGATAAACACATCAACCTTTGCACATAAACATGACTGTGTCGAACATTTTAAAGACGGAAGAACTTGGTTGATGAATAGAAAAGATTACTGTACCTATAATTTAAAACAAAATATGATTTTTAAGATTTTTCAATAATGATGAATCAAAAATAACACTTGTAAGTAGCTATGTTAATACTTAAATAGCTGTAAGTGCTTTAAAAAGCTGCAAAGTTTTCAAAGTGATTTGTATTAGACAAAAAGTATATGTGTCAGGCAAATTTGGTATTCAGGCAGAATTGAACTAAAGATAGAATCTTTTTTTGAAAATATTAGATATGATTTTGCCCAGTCAAAATTAGCACTGTACATAACTGAGAGTAATGAAAAAATTGATATAAAGGCTTCGACATTCTTCATTAACTTTTTAAATATCAATTTGTATTTTTTTTCGATGATGGGGACATGGGGACATTGATGATTGGTTAAATTTTATTACGAGTAAATTTGTTCTTCTACAATGTATTTGTATTTTTTTCTGATGATGGGGACATGAGGATGTTGATACTTGGTTAAATTTTATTATGAGTAAATAATTTTTTATCTACAGTAGCAGTATGGCCTGTTTTGATGAAAATGGATTGACGTGGGGTTAGTGTCTAAAGAAATCGAATGTTTCCCTAGCAAGGGATGAAAAAATGGGTTGATTGGTACTTCTTCAGAATACGAACACCCTTCATCCACACTCGTTATCCTGCCAGCGAATGTATGTTCATAGGGTGGGTGTGTTCTGAAATAGAACCGGTTGAGATGGAGTGACTGTTTAAAAGAAAGGAAATTTTCTACGACACGCTGTGGCTTGTCTGATAAACATCGCATATGTCTTCGTATAAAAGAACAGGTTTAACTTCTTTAAAATCACAAAAGTCGATGACCAGCGATAAGACGAAGCGCGAACGTTTGTTTGCACTAGTGAGAAAAACGACCGGAAATCTTTTCAGTAGATAGTTTGTTCTGAAGTAAACCCCCCCCCTACATTAGAAGACCCTCCCATTATAGAAGACCCCCCATTATAGAAGACCCTCATTTGTGAACGAAGCGAAATTCGCAATAGAAGACCCGGATTTTGTAAAAAAAATCTTTTAAATTTTGTTAATTTNAATTGTATACTAATATAGTTCATTGTTTCATTGATGAACTTGTCCCTATACGTTAATTGTATAAATACATTCGTGTCAAATACCTCGGTATATTTTGTTTATATCATAGACGGCGGCATGTTTAATGTAGGCTATTCGAAAGACGATCTCTTTTTTCTTAAACAGAGGATGATGCTCAAATGAAAGATGGACGATTCAAGAAAAGATTTTCTTATCTATCTGTAAAATAGAATTGTAAAAAAAATCTATAAAAACACCATCAATCGATCATTGATTTCAATACGACATGAGTACAGTAAACAATCTCTATTCATTTTTAATGAGAATAAGATAATATGCCATAAAATAACATCAACCATTACAGTTTTGATGATTTCAGTGAACCAAATAAATCAAGTTTGTTCATTTGATTCTAAATGATACAATCTTTGATGATTGATTTCATGCAGAAAAAAAAATTTTGTATAATTATTAGAAATATATTTGACTACGAATAAAAGTAGAAGAATTTTTAAATGTAAGTAACTGTATTTTGACTTAAAATGTCTTTAATAGAATTCGAAATATTCTTGTAAAATGCTCATTAATAAAAATGTCAACATGACTTGTTAACGCTTTTCATGTAAATATGAATCATAAATACTAAAAACGAGTCCATTCGATCGACTAATGGCATAGATATTGAAGTTGTGAATTATATTTGAAATGAAAACAAACAGTGTAATTAATTTCGGGGTCGAATTTTGAAAGATGATGATATGAGTCCAATACAATTGTCTAGTTATTATTTAGTGATTGAATGTCGTCGTCGGTCGCTGTAGTACTTAATATTGCTGAAGTAAGTCTTCGAAATATAGTTCAACAAACAAGTCTTAAATGAATATTTGTTAGAGGAAAATATGAAGTTGGAAAAACAACATGCAGGTATTATGTAGAATCTATTTTTTCAAATGTTTTTAATTGATTTAATTTTTATTTTTAGTTGTAGTTTAGCTTTACTTTTAGCGAAGGTTCGAGAAACGATTTTAATTTTAAGTACTGATTCAGCTCAAAATATATCCGATGTATTTAATCAAAAATTTACTAAAAAACCAACAAAAGTTGATGGATATGAAAACTGATTTGTTATAGTTTGAAATTTGTTTTTTATTTGTTTTGAAAATTTCTAATGTAAAAATTCAGTAGGAAATCGATCCTTCAGGAAGAATTAGTGAATAACCTGATGATAATGAAGAAACGATTCTTTCTTTCTTAGACGTGCAATATAGATAAATCATATTTAGGAATACTTCATCCAGTGATCTTCCAGATAATAGTTGTTCATTTGATTGTACAACTTGTTTTATCATGTCTTAATGGATATGTATGTATTTTTAGGTTTTAAATTATTTGATTGATATTTGATAAAGTAGATCTTCGGAATTGATCACGTATAAATAACATCAAATGAAAAACAATATTTGGAATTGTTCTCGTATTTGTAATCAATATTCTGGTGTATGGAAAAAAGAAAAAAAATGCTTTTCTAATTATGTTAAAATTTTTAATGAAAACAATTTGTTGTTAAAATAGAGAAAAATTAGCATCGCAGAAAATTATTTCTTGAAAGTAAATTAACCCTTCGGGGGCGGGAAGCACATATATGTGCTTCGATTCTGATTCCATCAGCACCTGACCTAAGCTAATCTCTAACGATGTTCTAATGACAGAAATGACGGTATAGATCATGAATTTATTACTTTCGATGCATGGTGATGTAATCGTTTGTGTTGTGTCCTCATTCACCTTCTTTCGTTCTGCACTTAGATCCATTACTTCTATTACGTCACTATCCAATAATCATACATACTATGGATTTTTCGCGTACATTTTCTTAGTCATCTTCTTACGAGTTCTCTTTTTTCTAGTATATTCTTATTCTATCCATCAAACATATCGGATTTACCAAAAGTTTTGCGACATTTTTGATTTCGCATTTATCTCGACTTGAGAAAATGATACAATCTTGATTTTTTTCTTAAAAGATGCGCCGTGAAAAGTTCTGCCGAAACTGTATACAGAAATCTCTATTAACTGATTCTGACTGTTTTTCGATGCTTAATACGAACAACCTACATGCCAATACTATGTCCCACCGTATTGAGCATTGTAAACATGTTTGAAAGACCTTTTCGTTTTGCAATAGGGATTTTTCCATACAGATTGTGTAGAGCTTTTAACAGCGTATCTTTGAAAAAAAATCAAGACGTTATCATTTTCTCAAGCCGAGATATATGCAAAACAAAGTTGTCTTGCAAACATTTTTATTATGCTGAAAATAGCTCTATTATTAAGGTAGTTAATTTTGAATGTGAAAAACCCATCAGATCAAGTCAAGAGGGTGTGGGTGGGTGTGAGTTTGGGTAAGTGCACTAAAGACTCCCACCCACACCCACCCTTTTAACATGACATCGTTATGCTACAACTCTTTTCTTATACGATTTTCTTTCACTCCGAGAAAGAAACATCAGTGCAGCAATACTCATCAGAAAGAAATGTAAATATAATTCTTGACATATTTTCTGAAGACTTAGCATTGTGAAATTAAAAATAATTTAAAATAAACATAGATTGATGGAAGCGAAAACTTCACAACTGATCATTTTAGTAAATTCCTATCATACTATTTTCTTTTCAGTAGAGGGCTTAGAGATGTTTGCGTCGCGTTACTTGTATTACAAACGATAAAATATCAAAACTTTTGTTTTCATTTTATAAGTGTTACACTAAAATTACTAATGCCTTGAACCTTTTTCCGTGCATCTCAGTTGCATTCATTAACATCGAATAGTACAAAATTAACTTGAAGTCAGTTGTCTATTTAAGATGTATCTGAATAGGTCAGGAATAATCATTTGTGTTTTTCTATGTACTGGACTAAACTGCCGCTACCCTTTGAATAGAAAAGGATGAACAACACGAAATACTACTTAGTTATTTTGAAAAGAATATAACGACGTTTAATGAATGAATAGATTCCATTCAGTATGCATGTCAAGCGAAATCTAGAGCGAAGGCATCTGCCTATATTTGATTTTATGCTTTGACATGCAATGGCCTGTGATGAACAATGAAGATTAAGTTGAGACTTGATCTTTTTTCTAGAACTAAATGTCTCTCATAGAAAAGTATTAGAACAATTGATTCCGTAGTCATATGCACATGTGCTAAAAATTTTGTCAAAATAGCTAGTCTAGTTATTAGATTGATAAACACTTGATGAGATAATAAATATTTAGGAATATTCTGCTCTATAATCGCTTATCTTTGCACATGCGCACCCTACTGTTTGATTTGTTCTCTTCATAGACTTTTACTGTAGAGTAAAACATCATGTTATCTATGAAAGGTGGCGATGATCAATAAAGTACTCATCTGAAATGAACCCAACAATAGTAAACACGATGTATATCATATGGATTTTATCGGCATATATATATTGTTCGGTTGGATAATGGTAACGTCAGAATATGGGAATAATTACACTTGCTACATGATATCTACTACATGCACTTATTCAACAGTGTTTGTTTACGAATGTAAATCAAATTATGTCAATTGCTCTTCCTTGAATACAAATGAATCATGTTGTGGCATTTATCAGTATATAATCATTAAACTTATTATACTTAGAATATGTAGGAAAATATTAAACAAAAACGAGAAATATTTTAAAGTTAAGTATGTTCCTACGACTGATACTAAGAAGATTTGGGCAATCGATACACATGCTTGACAGATGCAGAATTGAGGTAATGGAAAAAGGAAAAAAAGAGACAAATAAAGAGACTAACTAGTTGTACAATGATTATTGATATGTATCGCAAATTATAGAGACTTTCGACCGGGCGACATATGGTAGCAGAGTGTGGATGTTAATATCATTATCGATACAGATCAAGAGGAGATTCATATGCACACACTCATGCCCCAAACCTGCACCCAACACCAACACTAGTCCATGATATATCGATCCAACATCTGTCCAAAATCGAGCTTTATGCGACCCTATCTTTTCAGGTTGAATGTAGTGTCTGGATAAAAAGAAAACGCCTACATCCTAACTGGATTAAAATGATGAGAATCTTCGATGAAGCCTACTCCTATGCACTCATAATGACGTATGTTCAAATGATAAAAACAAGTGTCTGTCCCTTATGTCTATGTCGTGTTCTCTTTATCGGTTTCATCAACATAAATATGGTTTTATGAAGGTATAGTTATCGCGCTTCCACCTTTTAACATTTTATCAGTCAATTCAACATGGATTTTCATCTAAAAAACAATCATGCTGTCCGATTTCTCTATGTAAGCGTTTTTCAATAATGCATCGCTTTTTCCTTAGGTTTCTTGAGTTTCTTTAGAGATTGACGTCCGAGTGACGAGACAATTGCTTTTTATTAGTTAGCAGTGCATATTTTATAAGTTATTGAGTATATATTGTGCTTGAATCGATGCAAGGATTATGCGGAAATTTTCATGCCGAAGCCCATGGGAAATGTACCAAGATGATCAACGGAACTATACAAAACAAAACGATTATTTTTACGAGTAGACTTCGACAAACAAAATGATTAGGGTATGGGTGGGTATGGGGTGTGGTGTGAACGAGCGTGAGTGTGGGTAGAAATGTATTTCCACCCATACCCACATAAACACCCACCCACACCCACACCTCGACTAATGTCGCAAAAAGAAATTAATGAAATCATTATGATAATAAGAAGTAAACTCTTGTTGATCGTGTGTATGATCTGGTTCTTGAAACATCGTCTTCAAAAGAATTTACCGATGCACAGTATTTTCTTGTACCTACATTTATAAATCTGTATGAAGGTAATTATGTTAATAGTATTTGAATCTGAGTAATTCGTTCTATACATGCAGGTGTCACTCGAATGCATTTCATGATAAGATCTAATTTGAAGGATGCTCAATTATCTGTGTTACTCAATAAGTCTTTCGATGATCTGTCGCCAGATTCGTTTTATGTCGTTGAACTTGATTCGGTTCGAGACGACAGTTATGATGTAGAAATATCTTGAATTCGAAAAAAATTCTTATACAAATTACATCTGTATCTTTCAGCACATCGGAAAATGTGAGACGATGCTGGCGTTCGCAACAAACTTGTATTTGTTAAAGGTGTTATTCGTGAATATTTTGATTTATTTGATAAAAAGAAGAAATAAAAAAAAATACTTTAATCAGTCATATTTTCGTTAAAGTAGAACTGTATCCAAAAGTATTGTGACAAATGGTCGATGCTCGTCGAAAATATATGACATCAATTTGATTTTAGCATGAGAAATTTAATCGAACATAACCATGACTACTTGGATCATATCACATCAATACTTAAGAGTGTGTGTATGAGAGTGAGTAGGTGGATGTGGCTAACGGTGTCTTCTTCATACACTCACACCCTCTAGAAGGATAGATAATAGACAATTGGGTGTACCTAATGCGCATAGTAGCATATCAAAATCGATGCTACACCTAGAAATGTTCTCTCGTCAAATGAATAATAAATTAATTCTCTAATTGTTGTAGCTAGCTCTTATTTCGAACTTTTGATATTCAAAGTTTAAGCGTTCAATTAAATTATTCGTTATTGACATACTTAAAAATAAATAAATATTACGAAAAAGATCAAAAGAAAACAATTACTAAGACGGCGACCATTTCGGTTTTTGTCATCTGTATTCACTTCACTTATGGTTGTGTTTGTTATAATTCGTGTATTTTCCGAATTCATTAATCTGAAAGTTACCGAGAGTGGATAGATTTTTGAATTTGAATTGAGACGATCGAACATGAATTGAACTGTTTCGAGTGGTGTTTCGATTGGTTGAATCTGGTTTTTCGAATCAAGTTCGACCGTAATACTTCGTTTTATGTAAGGCAGCTCTGAAGAAACGCTAGCATTTATCATAATTGCTTTTGTCCCATCACTGTTCACTATTTGCTTCCATGAATATTCACCGATCGGCGGCACAGGACGTAGCGTTGTTTCATCTATGAAATAAAGGATCAATGTGGAATCATTTGAAAGAGTAACTTTCAAGATGTGAATGGTGGTGATACAAGCAGCAGCTGCTCAGAACTCACTATGATTAATATCGATATGTTTTTATCACAAATAACTAGATAAAGAGTTTACCAATTTCTTGACAAAAATCTTTTTTTTTTGCTTGCGAACAACCAATTAGACTAAATCATTTGCAAATACCTGGTCACATTTCGAAGGTTTATGACGAAAAATTAATTCGAAAAGAATCGACTTGGTCGGGATTTATCATAGCCTCAT